GAAAGTTGTAGAAAAAAATGAAAATGAGATAAAGATATTCCCAGCAAACAAAACAAAATTTACTGGGAAGAGATTTGCCTTATCAGAAACACTAAAGAAAGTTCATCAAACTGAAAGAAAATGAAAAGAAAAAGAAAGTTCTTCAAACTGTTCTCTCAAATCAATAGAAGTGAAGAAAAAAAATTTAAGACAGAAAAAAAAACCAGGAGTGAAGAACCAAATTCAATGACTTATAAAAAGACTTATCTACCAAGATCAGTGGGGTTTATTGCAAGAATGCAAAGTTGGTTTAGCATCCAAAATTCAATTAATGTAATACACTATATTAATAGAAAAGAGGATAAAACCCACAAGATTGTCACAATAGCTGCAGAAAAGGCATTTTACTAAATTTAACACATATTCATGATAAATACTCTCAACAAACTAGGACCAGATGGGAAATTCATCAACCTCATTAAAGGAAAAATCTATAGCTAACATCAAACTTAATGGTGAAAGATGTTATGTTTTTTAAAGACTGGAAACAAGCCAAGGATGTCTGCACTCACCACCTCAGTTCTACACTGTAGGATTCTGCAAGCAGCTTGGTAGTCACCAATCTATGCTGACAAGTAAAGGGCTAAACAGACTGAAAAATTAGCAGCTCTTCTTGGATCTGTAAGAGAAGGCAGGACACAGTAAACCACTCTTCCCAAGATAGGAGAGACAGGCAGGTGAATATAAGTCGTCACAGTCAGCAAACATGCATGAGAGAAACTGACGTGAGACTCTGTGTGGGGAGGTGGGACTGAATTGTAATTAATGAATTTCTGGAAGCTCACCATAGGCCAGTCTGAGAGTTAAAAACACCATGGGGACTGAGTCCTAAGGGAGTCCATACAATACTGTGAGATTTACCCCTGGAGCATGACCAGGTTCCCAAGTAAATATCGCAGCAAAGTCCCCTCAAGCTTTCGCCGGGGGAGGGAAGGAAGCATTCCCAACGTCCAGAGCACTCTGTTTTTCCTAACAAGGCTGCCTTCAAGGAAATCTCATTAGCCAGAGCCTGACCTGCTGGGGCATTATCAGAGCCTAACTGACCTGGGAGAGGGAAATGTTCAGCTCCAGCTTCCCCTGGACATCCTGCCCCAACCAAGGGGAGATAAAAAATGGAGAAACCCTTGTGAAGTTCCCATCCAGAGGCACAGACTCAGTAAGAGACTGGGGCCTCATCCCAAGATGTATCCAGGCCTGGGCTCTAGTCCCAGGGAAGAAGGCTTCCCCTCCCCCTAGCTGTCCCCACCCCTCACCTGACATTACTAAGGCTTGCTTTTAGCAGGTCCTTTCACCCAGTACATCATATCCAGCTGTCACGAAATAATTACAAGGCAAATCACACAATTAAATGGCAAAAGACACAATCGGAAGAGACAAAGCACAGTCAGAACAGACATGGCAGAGAGATTGGAATTATCAGACCTGCCATGATTTTTTACAGGAAAAGGATACAAGGTAAAATCAGCAGAGAGAAAAGCCTCATGGGGCCAAGCTTGGGGAAGACCATGTGCCAGCTTCCAGGGTCCTCCTGGAGTTACACTGGAGAAGCTTAATTGTCCCAGGGAGTCATGACAAAGGGTGTGAAATGTTGCCAAACAGGGAAGCTCATTAGAAACTCATGGTTTTAGCAGGAGCTTATATTTGTTTGCTAAGGCTGCTGTAACAGATACAAACCTGGAGATCTGAACAACAGAAATCTGTTCTCTCACCGTGTAGGAGGCCAGGAGTCTGAACTCAAGGTGTCAGCAGGCTTGATTCCTTCCAGAGGCTCTGAGGGACAAACCATTTCACACCTCTGCTAACTTCTGGTTGCTGTCAGCAATCCATGTGTGTGTATCACTCCAGTCCCCATCTCTGTCTACATGTTTATTTATGACGCCCTGGGTCTTCACTGCCGCATGTGGGCTTTCTCCAGTTGCGGTGAGCAGGGGCTACTCTTCCTGCTAGTCCAGGGGTTAAGAATCCTACTGTGCTCCACAACAACAGAGCTGCTCCCACTTGCCGCAACTAGAGAGAGAGCCTGTGCACAGCAACAAAGACCTAGGGCAGCCAAAAAACAATGGAAAATAATTTAAATTAAAAAAATAATGAAAAGGCTGACAACATCAAATGCTGGCAAGGAGGTGGAAAAACTGGAACCTTCATACATTGCTAGTGGTAACATCAAATGGTAAAGCCTCTTTGGAAAATAGTTTGACAGTTTCTCATATACTGAACATACAGCCCAGAAAAGGGGGAGAAGGAGGAGCTGTGATAAGGTGATAATTGGAGTCCACTAGAGGAGCTTGGAGGCGTCCCAAAGGTTGGGCTGTGACAGTCTTTGATTGGCTTGGATGTCCTTGGTGGAGGGAAGTTTTCTGCTTCCTGTTGGAGAAAAAGTAGAGACACCTGTCTTCCTGTTTCTGATAACTGACGATGAACGGTGAGCATGGGAACGCTCCCTACCAGAGTGTTCTGGCTATCCTGGCTCCAACTTCCACTGAAATTTCTTTAAATAACTCCACTGAGAGTGGATTATGAAAATGTCATGTATCCAGACAATGAACTACTAGTCATATAAGGGGACAAATTACTGATATTCACAACAACATGAATGAACTTCAAAAATACTATGCTAAGTTATGACCAACCTAGACAGCATAATAAAAAGCAGAGACATTACTTTACCAACAAAGGTCCATCTACTCAAGGCTATGGTTTTTCCAGTAGTCATGTATGGGTGTGAGAGTTGGACTATAAAGAAAGCTGAGCGCCGAAGAATTGAGGCTTTTGAACTGTGGTGTTGGACAAGATTCTTGAGAGTCCCTTGGACTGCAAGGTGATCCAACCAGTCCATCCTAAAGTAGATCAGTCCTGGGTGTTCATTGGAAGGACTGATGCTGAAGCTGAAACTCCAATACTTTGGCCACCTGATGTGAAGAGCTAACTCATTTGAAAAGACCCTGATGCTGGGAAAGATTGAAGGCAGGAGGAGAAGGGGACAACAGAGGATGAGATGGTTGGATGGCATCACTGACTCAATGGACATGAGTTTGGGTAAACTCCGGGAGTTGGTGATGGACAGGGAGGCCTGGCGTGCTGTGGTCGATAGGGTTGCAAAGAGTCAGACACGACTGAGCAACTGAACTGAAGTGCAAGAAACCAAACAGAAAGGCTGCATATTGTATGTAGTCGTTTCCTGCATGCCTAAGTCACTTCAGTCTTGTCTGACTCTGCGACCCTATGGACTGTAGCCCACCAGTTTCCTCTGTCCATGGGATTCTTCAGGCAAAAATACAGGGGTGGGTTGCCACGCCCTTCTCCTGGGGATCTTCCCAATCCAGGGATCAAACCCAAGTCTCTTATGTCTCCTGCACTGGCAGTTGGGTTTTTTTGTTTGTTTTACCACTAGCACCAGCTGGGAAGCTATAGGGCTGTTGTAACAAATTATGACAAATTTAGTGGCTTAAAACAATGCACACTTACAGTTCTGGAAGTCAGAAATCTGAATTGCATCTTATGGGGCTTAAATCAAGGTGTTGCGCAGAACTGCATTCCTTCTGGAGGCTCGAGGGGTCCCTTGCCTGTTCTAGTGTCTGGAGGGTGCCTGCATTCCTTGGTTCATGGTCCCTTTCTCCATCTTCAAAGCCAGCAGTGTGGCAACTACCACTTTCTCTTTCTGATCCCCTTATCACATTGCCTTTTCTGCCTCATTTTGGCCCATGGACTCCAGGCAGGAGTGTTATATCACTTGTTGTTGTTTAGTCTCTAAGCTGTGTCCAGGCCCTTTGCAACCCCAAGCCTTCCATGGCTCCTCTATCCACAAGATTTCCCAGGCAAGAATGCTGGAGTGGGTTGTCATTTCCTTCTCCAGGGGATCTTCCTGATCACTTGTAGGCCAAGGTAATTAATAGCTAGCAGGTCTCCACTAATCTCTTTTCCACTGCCAGTGCCACAGGAGACTGTGTTCCAGAAGTAAGTCAAGAAGAGCCAGCTGACTCTCCCATCGGTCTATGCACAGTGAAAAATCTACTGAAGACTTGGGAGTTGTTACTCCGACCTAGTCTATCCTAGGCTAATGGCGGAGCGTTCCTTAGAAAAAAAAAAAAAAATATATATATATATATATATATACATATATATAGCGTGTCGGTTAAATCGTTGTCTCAGTTCCCAGGTTGCCCTTCCATGATCCCCTGTGCGATGGGCGGCGGGGGCGGCACATTCTGAGGGACAAGAGCAGGTGATGCCATAGAGGAAGAGGGGGCTTGCTATCTGCCCCCAGCCACACTTCCCCACCGCAGCAGGAAATAAAACGGCACTGCTGGCTGGATTTATGTGTTATACACAGGGTCCGGTTTGGACAGGAGGGTCTGACACAATAATGCAAGGCTGTCCAACAGGGGCCCAGAAATATCTGGAAGAATGGTGGACCCAAGAGGCGAGGAGGGCACTGGCGAGGGTCTCCCAGCACCCGCTATCCGGGCTAGAGGAGGCAGAAGTGCCCTAGAGGTCGCACACGGACCCTCTGCAAAACCGCACACCAGGAGGCGACCACGGGGACGAGACTCGAGGGAGACCAGGACAGCCGGTAGGGCGGGAGCTCGGCAACGACGAAACCCGGCCGGGCAGGACGCTCGCCCGGGCGGGCCAGGCGGGGACCACCGCGGCCGCTAACCCCGCCCAGGCTCTGCCTCCCCGACCACTCCTCCCACCGGAAGTCTCTCCTCCAGGGCGTTCGTGCAGCCCTGGCCCGCGCGGGCGCGTCTCGCGGATGGCCTCGGAGCCGCTCCGCCGCACGGCGCTCCTCCAGCCGCCAGGGGCGCGCGAGATCGCGCCTGGGCCGTTCTGGCCCGCGACGGCCGCTCGACTGCTCCGCCGCGCGGTGCTGACGCGCCCGGACTGCTGCCGCCGGTCGGTTCCCTCGGCAACGCCTCCGGCCGTTCCCCGGGCAACGCTGGGCGGTGCCGGTAGCCGCGGTTATGGACCAGGGGGCCGGCACCGGCCAGCAGCCGGCTCGCGGCCGCCTCGGCGCGCCATCCTCAGGGACGCGGGCCCCGGGGACGCCCTGGGCACGCTTCTCGGCCTGGCTGGAGTGCGTGTGCGTGGTCACCTTCGACCTGGAGCTGGGCCAGGCACTGGAGGTGAGGGGGCCGCGGGCCGGGGGCCGGGGCGGCCGCGGAGGGCGGGTCCTGCGCTGTCGCTGGAGGCGGATGCGGCTCAGGCGTTGCCGAGGGGCGTGGGAATCCCACTGCCCGTGAGATACCTCCGATTCTTCCCCTTCTGGAACCCTGCACTGGTCCCCTCCTGAAACACGCCCCCCAAGCAGAGGGGAAAATGTGAAGTTGCCAAGACCAGTGTGTGGGATGGAGGAGAGGGGAGCCCTGCACTTCTGATCCCCGAAGTGGCACACTTGATTCCTCCCCAGGAAAAGCCTGTCTCCCCCCCCACCCCGGCCTTTCCAACACTATAACACCTTCTCCCCTCAGTTACTCCAGCCAGAATCCCAGGGGTCACCCTTGACTCTTCCCCTCCCTCCATCCCACATCCTGGGAGGATGCAAGGCTGACAGCTCCACCTGCAGCAAGGCTCCAGATCGGTCAACCTCAAGTCCAATATCTGTGGTCTCTTGCTTAAACCTTTGGACTCCTCCTCCTTCACTTAGAACCTGATCCAGACCCCCGGTGGGTCACATCCAGCCCCAGGAGTCATCTTTCTGTGCACTAACTGCACCCAGCCCACCCAGCCTAGGGGATTCCCCCTCCCTGCGAGACTCTTTCCCACCCCCATCCACATGGATGGATGAGTTCTGTAGTTGAGCAGGTCCGTTGGGATGGTCCTTTGTGCCCTGAAGGCCATGACACAGACCATGGAGCTGACCAGGGCAGGGGAGGCTTAGGAGGTAGCCTTCAGCACGCTGTCTGAGGCAGCTTTCTGAGAACCCAGGAGGTGGTGCATCCCATGACTGCAGTTGGCCAAGGTCAGCCCGGTCAGCCGTCATGGGAAAGCCAGCGTCAGGGTGGGGGCTGTTTCCCAAGACGTTGCTGAGCTCCACGAGACTGTGGGAAGCTCACGTCCTGATGGGCGAGGGCTGACAGTGCCCAGCTCGCTGTGGAGACCCCATTCGCAGCAGCTGTCCCCTGATGGCACACCAGGCCAACTTGGTGCAGGGACCTGAGCCCAGAGAGGTCAGGTGATTTGTCCAACATCACAGGGTCCTTTCCTGCCGGTGCCCAAATTGTTCCTGATAAAATCACAAGGGAAGGGAGTCCACTGTCTCCTTAAGGCATTCTCATGTATGATTTTCTAGAACTTAACCATTCAAGCAAGAACAGTTAAAGGCTCCATGTGCTGAGCTTCCAAGCTTTGTAGAGGCTGTATAACTCCTGGGGTGTTGGGGGGCTGGCACGTCTGTGCAGGGATCGGGCAGGGCGGCCACCTGGTGCTCACCAGTTTGCGTCTTGTCTTTCTTCTCTCCCCTGGAGATCATGGGGAGGATCAGGGGTCATTTCAGCTGAGTCCACAATCACTCATGGAACACCTGCTCTGCACTTGTTCATTTATTATGGGCTTGGCCTAGCTGAGCACCACAGAGGCTCTGGTACTGTGCTTGGCGCTGGGACAGGATGGAAGACCCAGGCGCTGCCCTCCAGGCACTCATGGGTCATGGAGACTCCATGGGCAGACGCAGCTCAGAGGAAGGAACGGTGCTTGGCCAGATCTTGCAGGATGAGAAGGAGGCATCCAGACCTGGGAGGGGGGCTGTTTCAAGTAACCTCTCCACCCAAAAGCCAGCAAAGGCAAAGGCAAGGAGCCAGCCATTCAGTCACTCAATAAATCCAGTATCAAGCGACTGCCAGGCTGCACGGTCCTGGTGCTGGACATGAGGATGCAGAGCTGGGTGCGATGCCGGGGCCTGCCCACCAGGAGTTCATGTCCTGTGCTAGAGACATGGAGAGTCAGTGGTGCAGGACCCGCCCCCTCCAGAGCAGGATGTATGTGGTGTCCCACCCATGTGGGTGCTCTGGAGCCTGCAGGCAGGCAGAGGTCAGACGTGCGGGGAGGGCGGGCAGGGCTGTGCTCTTGGCAGCGCTCCTCCCTGCAGCCCCGCCTACCACAAAGCCTGTGCGGAGAACCACGGCCAAGGGCCCAGGGGGTCCTGTCTCCACCGGGTGTCAGCGTCCTCCTGGCTCGCCATAGCTCCCGCACTGCACAGTCTCAGGACTCTTTCAGTCTTCAAAACCACTGGGTACCCAAGGGGCTTTTTATGTGGGTCGCATCTATCAATGTTCTCTACACTAAAAGTTAAAACTGAAAATTAAAAATGCATATTAATCCATTTTGAAACATGAGATACCATTTATGTTAATAAAGCTATTAATATCCCCACCAAAACAACCATATTTTCAGAAACAAGTTTAGTGAGGAGAATGGCATTATTTGATACTTTTACATCCCTTTTAACGTCCGGCCAAATGGAAGGCAGCTAGACAGACCCACATGTCATGAAGACCCCCATGTCAGCTTCAGTCAGTGCCCCTGACGGCCTGCGTCACAACCTCAGGAAGTGATGCTGCACACTGTGAGAAGGAGTGACTGGAAAGGCAGCCTCGGCTCGGGGAGCCTAGGGCACCCAAGGACACCCACCCCGCACTTGGAGAGGTGCTCTCTTAGAGGTGCCTCCTCCAGCAAGGTGAAGCTCCCACGTCTGTCTTCCTCGGGACACCTGGGTTACGGCAGCACCACCCCTGAGCCCTGAGGCTTGGGTGGGAAGGACAGGGGACAAGGCTCACCGTGGGGCAGGCTCCGGCCCTCTAGCTGTCTCTGTGGGTCTACCCCGTTTGTCCCCTCGCTCAGGCGTGGCCTTCCCCCTGACCTCTGCTCCCAGCTCCTGAACTCCGAACGCGGAGCCCTGGGCAGGGCTGTGAGCCTGCTCAGACGCTGCAAGATTCCTGTGCCTGCAGACCAGATTCAGACCCCTGACCTCAGCACTGAGAGCCGGTTGTGCCCTGCCCCAGCCGCCAGGCACCTACCTTTCCCCTGCCCTTCTCAGCAGACACGCAGGGGCCTGGCCTGTGTGGCCCTGGGCTCCTGCCTCTCTGGGCGCTGTCTCCAGGTACCTCTGTAGGCCTGCCCCACAGACAAACAGTGTTTGGCCAACTCCCCGCCCACCTCTTCCCAGACGGTTCAGTGGTAAAGAATCTGCCTGCCAAGCAGGAAACACAGGTTCAGTCCCTGGGTTGGGAAGAGCCCCTGAAGGAGAAGATGACAACCCACTCCAGTGTTCTTGCCTGGGAAGTCCCATGGACAGAAGAGCCTGGCGGGCTGCAGTCCGTGGGGTCACAGAGAGTCAGATGCGACTTTGCGACTAAGCAGCCAACAGCAGCAGCCTCCCTCCTCTCGGCCCTTCCTTCCTGGTGCCGCCTTAGCTGACATCTTCTTGTGATTTCTTCTTGACCCACCTGTTCCACTGTCCTTTAGAGACATGTTTTCACATTCTCCTTAAATATAAGCCCCTCAGAGTTGGGGGTTCAGTTCCAGGCCACTGTAGTAAAGCCAGTCACACAGATTTCCTGGCTTCCCAGCACATATAAAAGTTATGGCTACACTAGCTTCCCTGGTGGTTCAGACGGTAAAGAATCCACCTGCACTGCAGGAGACCTGGGTTCAATCCCTGGGTTGAGAAGATCCCCTGGAGAAGGGAATGGCAATCCACTCCAGTATTCTTGCCTGGAGAATTCCATGAACAGAGGAGGCTGGTGGGCTACAGTCCACAGGGTCTCAAAGAGGCGGACACGACTGAGCTACTAACACTGCTACTACGCTAGAGTGGTCTAATAAGCATACAAGAAATAGCACTGTATCTAAAAAACAATGTATGTGCCTTTATTTCAAAATGCTTTCCTGCTAAAAAACGCTATCATCTTGAGCCTTCAGTAAGTCATCTTTTTGCAACAGTAATATCAAATACATAGATCACAGGTCACTGAAACAAATACAGTGATGAAAAAGTTTGAGATATTGTGGAAGTTATGAGGATATGATGCAGAGGTGTGAAGTGAGCAAATGTTGGAAAATGACACCCATAGAATTGCTACAAACCCTTAATTTGTAAAATAGTCATGACATCCACAAAGCACAATAAAGCAAAGTGTAATAAATTGAGACATGCCTGTACAGTATCTGGTGAGGGTCTACTCCCTGCCAGGGGCTCCGAGGCAGAAGTGCCTGGGACACAGTCCCGGTCCTCTTAACACTTGGAGGCAGCAGAGACCCAGAGCAAATAGGACAAAAGCTATGTGACTGCGCCAGTGGGGGTCCCAGGGCCCAGCACCCACCATCTGGGGCTCAGGGCACACCTCAGAAGAAGCCTAATTTCAGCCAAAACCCAAGTCCTCCTCTGCCTGGGAGTTTGGCACGCAGTGAACAGGGCGCCACGCACACAGGCCCCCTCAGCTCCTGGCCCGCTGCAGGCAGCCACTGGGAGAGCCAGCCTGCAACGTCTGAGCACAGGCCAGGGCAGCGGCGACACCCAAGGTACCGCAGTGCTCCAGGGGATGCCTGGGGGCCACAGGGACTGAGGGCTCTGGGGGCCGCCTGCCGTTTTTCCTGTCCCGCAAGGAGATCCATTCAGGCCCGCTGCCTGAGCACAGGGCTGCTGGCCGGACAGGCAAGCCTCAACCTGCTTGGCTCCCCTCAAGCGTGGCCCTTCTCCCACATGCTCCCTGGCCACTCCTGGGGCTTGGGCACCCCAGGGGTCGTGCTCCAAACAGGGAGCAGGCTGGAAGCTCCCGGACTCCTGACTAGCAGGGGTTGAAGTGAAGATGCTCAGAGGCAGGGGTGCCAGCGTCAGGCACCACCTAGTGAAGCCGGGACAAGGAGGCTGGCTGTGCTGGCTGCGTGAGCAGGCAGGGAGGGCAGGTGCAGCCCAAGCCCCTCTGGCTGGGCGGAGTGGGGGTGGAGGCCAGCAAGGCCTTCCCCTCTCCAAGTGAGGGGGTGTCTCGGGGATGGGCGTTTGGGCCACGGAGACAGAGAGGCCGGTCTGAGCAAGCGCCTGTGAAGATGAGGATGTGGGCAGGGAGTTGAGCTTGGTCAGGATGTGCCAGCCAAGAAACAGGAAGTACAGTGGCCAGGAGTGGCCCCATGATGCAGGGCCCAGGGCCCTGGTGGGGTGTGGAGCCCAGGAGAGGGGGAGGGGCAGCAGGGAGTCAGAGGAGGCAGAGGGGGTGCAGCCCAGCGCCGAGCCAGCCCAGGCTGGCCCAGCCTGTGCCACCAAGCGGTGTGTGTCCCCCGCAGCTGGTGTACCCCAGCGACTTCCAGCTCACGGACAAGGAGGTGGGTCCCAGCCCTCTCGGGAGCAGACCTCGCCTGGAGAGCAGACCCTCACCGGGTTTCTGTGTTTCAGAAAAGCAGCATCTGCTACCTGTCCTTTCCTGACTCCCACTCAGGTAGGCCACCCTGCCACCTCTCCCTGCCCTGCCCTGCCCTGGGCGTCGCTCTGGGACCGGTCTGGCCCACTCCGCCTGGAGCCCCGGCCCCGCCTCCCTCTCTGGGGGATGTCTTGGGTTCTGTGCGGCCGCCAGGTTCCCTGGCTCCTGTGGAAAGAGGTGTCTGGGCAGAGGGACTCGCGGGTTCTGGTCTTTGCCCCAGCGGAGGGGCCGCCAGCTCCTGGCGTCAGCCCCTCCCCGGGGCTCGCGTGTGTGGCCAGCCTGTTTTCCGTCCCAGGCAGGCTCAGCCAGGCCACACGGAGGTCCTGCCACCCCCCAGCGGGCTTCCTCGGTGCCCACGCTGCGGGGCTGTCTGTGCGCGTGTCCGTGTGCCGAGTTTAAACCCCAAGGTACAGGGGTCAGGACACAGGGGCCTCTGTCGGGAGATGCAGACCCTGAGGGCTGGACTCACCACGGCGTTCGCAGACAGGCAGAGGCCTGCCCCGTGGGGCCTTGGCCTCCCCTCCTCAACTGCGTGCTGGCAGGAGAGACCCCAGCTGGACCCAGCGTGATGGGCCTTCTCTTCCCCAGGCTGCCTCGGGGACACGCAGTTCAGCTTTCGCATCCGTCAGTGTGGAGGGCAGAGGCGCCCCGGGCACATGGGTGAGAAGCGCGGCGACAGTGGGGCCCCCGCGTCTCTGCAGGTGAGCGGCTGCCCCCTCCCCTCTGCTGTGGGCCAGGATGGGCGCCGGGAGCTGCCCCTTCAGGCCGCCTGGCCCACCCCCCAGCCGGCAGGGTCTTCAGCTGCTGCAGGCTGAGCCTAGTGCCCCAGCCTCAAGCCGGGGCCAGCCAGCCCTTCGGAGGCCCTGCCGGTGTCTCTGGAGCTGGTCCTGGGCGCTTGTGTGCACCAGGGCAGGGCTCAGGATGCAGGCCTGCAGGCCTCCCAAGCCCCGAACTGCTGCCCCGGTCTGCGAAGATGTCCCTGGAGAGGTTCCCAGAGCCGAGATTCCCAGGCCAGCTTAGGGCTGGGGAGAGCGTGCCGCGGCCTGGGTGGGGGTCTGCGGGAGCAGCAGGGAGTGTGGGCGGGGGGCGTAGCCTGTCTGACACCCCTCCTTCCAGAGGGAGCCTGCACACTTCTTTGGCTACGTGTACTTCAGGCAGGTGAAGGACAGTTCCATGAAGCGGGGCTACTTCCAGAAGGTGAGCCCCGGGGTGGCTCCACTGGGAGCTGGGGGCAGCCACTGTCAGGAGGGACTGACGGTCTTGTGGTCCGGAGCCTCCAGGAGCATCCCCTCCTCTGCAGCCCCGGGCACTTGGCGCTGGGCTGAGCCCACCACCCCCCAGGCCGGGGTGTGGGCTCTGTGGAGGCCCCGCCTCGCCCTGTCTGGCCCACAGCCTTGTCTGGCCCAGGCTCCCTGCCCCTCCCCATGCTGGGATGTGGGTGGGGCACCTTGTCACACTCTAAGTGACTTCAGTCTTGAGCTCAGGCACCAGAGCAGAAGGCGCTTGAATCCCAGGGAGATCCTCCCAGAATCCCAGCCGCGTGCCTTTCCCTGAAGGCCTGGGCTCCGGCTCGCCCTGCTGTGGTGGTGGTTTTCTAGTGACCTGAAGTCTCTCGTCGGGCTGTTCCTGGGACAGCTGTCCTAGAAAGCCGGTGGGACGCCCTTCCTGGGCAGCCCTGGAGAGCTGGGCCCGGGGGTCCCTGCTGGGTCCTCGGGGGCTGGGGCGACGTCTCACCGGCCCCCGGGCCCTGCAGTCGCTGGTGCTGCTGTCCCGCCTGCCCTTCGTCCGGCTGTTCCAGGCACTGCTGGGCCTGGTGGCCCCTGAGTTCTTCGACAAGCTGGCGCCCTGCCTGGAAGCAGGTGAGTGGCCAGCAGGTGCAGTGGGGCTGCTACGTCCGCCCGGCTGTAGCTCCCGGCGGCTCCGCTGGGCAGCTTGCTCCAGGCCTGGCCTCTTGACGCTGGCCGCCTATGTCCACAGTCTGCAACGAGATCGACCAGTGGCCGGCACCTGCGCCGGGGCAGATCCTGAACCTGCCCATCATGGGAGTCGTCCTCCAGGTGGGGGCTGGTGGCTGGTGCGGGGGCCCGTGTGTGTGGCCCATCCCGCCGGCAGCTGCTCCCTTGGTCCATAGGTGCACATCCCACTGAGAGCGGACACGCCTGAGCCCGGGCCTCCGAAGCAGAGCAGCCACGAGGTGGGTCCCCCGCCACCTGCCTGCCGCGACCCTCCCCTCCCCTGCGGGGGTCCTGGGGCCGGCCAGACCCCAGACAAAGCCTGTGACCCAGTGGGGGGCGGGGTGGCCCTGCCCGCTCCTGTGCGGTGGGCACGGGGAAACATGTGGGTAGGGATGCGGCCCGAGAACTCTGCTGGGGGGACGGGGGCCGCTTGGTGCTCTGGGGCACCAGCCTCAGTCTCGGCCTGACCCCTCACCCCTCACAGACCCTGCTGCCGGCCCCGGTGGTCCTCCCCAGCGTCCACGAGCTGGACCTGTTCAGGTGAGCCCTACAGGCCCCCACCTCTCCCCACAGACGGTGAGCGAGCCCCCAAGGTTCAGGCCCATCGAGGCGGGGCTGCCAGGGGCACTGCCCCTTAGGAGTTGGCTCCCGGCCCGTTCTGAGAGGGAGACTCTGGCGGACAGGGAGCCCAGTGCCCAGGTCTGCACCTGGAGGATCCGAGTGCCGTGCGCAGGTGGGCAGATCCTGGCAGTGATGGTGCTGGGAGCTGCCACAGGGGGAAGCCGTGCTCCCTGGAGGGTCAGCGGGGACCCCACCTCTGCAGATCTGCCTTCAGCCTGGGGGCCGCGGAGCGACCTGGACTTGCCCTCAGCAGGCTCCCAAGTCTCTCACTGTTTCCCTCTGGTGTGAGTCTGGTATCCGCTCGGAGCAGGACCCGCCTGGACCTGTGGGGGCAGGTGGTCGGGGCTGGGGAGCACCCCCCCCGGCCTGGCCAACACCCCCGCTTGCCCCCCTGCCCCCCCCAGGTGCTTCCGGCCCGTGCTGGCCCACGTGCAGCTGCTGTGGGAGCTGATGCTCCTCGGGGAGCCCCTGCTGGTCCTGGCGCCCTCGCCTGCTGTGTCCTCAGAGATGGTCCTGGCATTGACCAGGTGGGCTGGGTGGCCACCCGGGGGGCGGGGCCAGGACCAGCTGGCGTGCTCACTGCCCCATGGGCCCCCCCCGCAGCTGCCTGCAGCCCCTCAAGTTCTGCTGCGATTACCGCCCCTACTTCACCATCCACGACAGCGAGTTCAAGGAGTTCACCACGCGCACGCAAGCCCCGTAAGCACCGTCCTTGGCCCCCTCCGCCACCCCTCCCCTGCCCCGACCCCCCTGCCCCCTCACCCCCGGCCCCTGCCCCTCCTGCCTTGCCTCCTTCCCTCCCTTTCTCTCTCTCTCTCTAGACCAAACGTGGTCCTGGGAGTCACAAACCCTTTCTTTATCAAAACACTCCAGCATTGGCCCCACATTCTCCGAGTCGGGGAGCCCAAGATGTCAGGTGAGGCTGTCCGGGCCTCCACCCAGGGTTCTAGGGATGTGGGTGGGGCCTTGCGGGGTCTGAGCCTGCAGAGACAGAGCTGAGGCCCTGAGGCGCGGCCATGGGGTGTGTCTCGTAGGGGACCTTCCCAAGCAGGTCAAACTGAAAAAGCCCTCGAGGCTGAAGACCCTGGACACCAAGCCAGGTCCGTGTTCCTCTTCTCCTCCCAGGGCCCAGAGACAGGCCTTGGGGTGGGCAGGGGCAGGCAGCGGGGCTGGCACAGCCAGAGGGGGTGCCCCCACCCCCAGAGCAGAGCATGTGGCCCTCTGCCCTTCCCAGGCCTCTACACCGCGTACACGGCCCACCTCCACCGAGACAAGGCCCTGCTCAGACGGCTGCTGAAGGTACCGCTGGGGGTGGGGTGCTCCCTGTGGGAGGGGTACCCGGGCCTGGTGCTTTGGCTCAGCCCTGGCGACCCCCACCCCCAGGGCCTGCAGAAGAAGCGGCCGTCTGATGTGCAGACGGCAGTGCTGAGGCGGCACCTCCTGGAGCTCACTCAGAGCTTTATCATCCCTCTGGTGAGGCCAGCACGGGGCGGCGGGCAGGGGGCAGGCTCTGGCCCGGACTCACTGCCCCCTCGCCCCCAGGAGCACTACATGGCCAGCCTCATGCCGCTGCAGAAGGGCATCGTGCCCTGGAAGGTGTGGTCCCAGGAGGGCCGGGGGTGTGCCTGGGAAGTGCCCCGGGGAGACTCCTAAGCGGCCCAGGCTTGCCCTGGGAGGCTGGTCCTCCCGCACTCACTCAGGCCAACGTTGCCGTCGCAGACTCCGCCCCAGATCCGCCCCTTCTGCCAGGATGAATTCCTGCAGGGCCTGGAGCGCGCGGGGCCCCAGCTCACCTGTGTCCTCAAGGGCGACTGGCTGGGTCTCTACAGGTGGGCAGCCTGTCGGCGGGGTCCGGGGCTCCTGCGGCCAGTGGGCGCGCACACCCGCCTGTCAGCCCCCGGGAGCCCACAGCCGCCACCCCCCTGCCCCGACAGGCGGTTTTTCAAGTCCCCCCATTTTGACGGGTGGTACCGGCAGCGTCACAGGGAGATGACCCAGAAGCTGGAGGTCCTTCACCTCGAGGCCATCTGTGAGGCGGTGAGGCGGGGCTGGGGTGGGGGGCCTTGGAGGGGAGGCCACGGCCAGAACTGGGGGGACCTTGGAGACAGACAGCCTGTTGTCTGCACAGAACATCGAGATCTGGATGAAGGACAAGTCCGAGGTGGAGGTCGTGGATCTGATCCTGAAACTTCGGGAGAGACTGGTGAGACGCCGCGTGGCCCTGCCCACCCTTAGCCAGTCGGACGTGCAGGCTGCCTGCCCCTGAGTCCCGCTGTCCCTGCAGGTTCGGGCACAGGGCCACCAGCTGCCCGTGAAGGAGGCAACACTGACGCGGGCACGGCTGTACATCGACACGGCCATCGGCTCTCTGCCCAAGGACCTGCAGGCCGTCCTGTGCCCTCCCTAGGACGGTGCCTGTGGGCTGTGGCCAGGGTTTGGCCGAGCCGCTGTCCTCCCCCGCCCTCCCCGACAAGCTCCCTGCTGCCTGCCACCTGGCACCGCTGTCGTCCAGCAGTAAAGGTGGCATTTGGAACCGCAGCCTGGGCCCCGACTGTTGGCGGCTCATGTGCTAGCCGAGCTTCACCCCACCCTGGGCCCCACCTGCCCGCTCTGAGGTCTTAGGCGAGTGGGGAGGCAGCACGCTGTGAGCCCTGGCTGATCTGATCTGGGTGGCCTTGGCCACCCACCCCCTCCAGACGCCCATCTGCCCGCACCCTGCAGGCCTGGGCATTGCCTTTAATGCGCCCTTTAGACCTACCAGGACGCCCGGCTCAGGACAGAAGACAGAAGGAGGTGGCTGCCAGGCAGACGCCTCCCTCACACAGGCGTGCCCCCCCCCACCTTCTTGCCTGGAGGGGAATCTCTCCTCCACTGCTCGCCTGGGAGGGGAGGAGCTGCTTCCCCCGGAGGAGTGCTGCCCTGTGGGTTCCACTCGAGGGACACCCTGCTGGGCACCCCTCCGGTGCTCGGCCCTGCCCACCCCAGGCTCACAGGCGCTCCAGTGGCCCCCCGTGTGTCCATCAGCCCCCGCAGGCAAAAAAGGGTCTTGGACTCTAGCTAGACCTGGTCCCTGCAGCTAGAGCTCTCCCCAGCCTCCAGAGTTTCAGGGCCCCAGGCTCCTTGACAAGGAGTGAAAGGCCCCCTGAAGTGACCCACGCCCCCGTGGGACACCGTGGAGCACTGGACCCAGGCCCGATCAGTGCTGTCAGCTGCTCCCAGAGGGAAGCTTGGTCAGCTGGGGCAGGGAGGGGTGGGGCGAGGCCTGGACCCAGAGCCCCAGGCCTTCGGGAGGTCCCAGCCTCCCAGCGAAGTAGCCCGAGGCTGCACAGGAGAGGCTCCCTGAGGGCCGCAGGGTGCGGCCCAGCGCGGGGGTGGGGTGGGGGTGGGGGGTGGGCCTCCTGTCTCCTCTGAAGCACCCTGCTCCCCAGCAGGGGGGAGGGTGGCGCCCCCAGATGGCGGAGCCACTGGTCTCAGAACCGCTGGTGTCCGCTTGTTCCCCCTGAGCACCACCTCTGGCAGCCTGGCGTGTGGCTGCGGGCGGAAGAGAATGAGGCCTTCAGGAGAGGGGACCTCGTGGATGCAATGCCCCCGCAGCCCACCCACTCTGGGCCAGGGCGGCCAGGCACGGGTTGCGCCCCGCCATCACTGCAGCACGTTGCCCAGTCTCCTCCCTCCGTTTTCAGAGGGTGTTGGCATGTGCTGGAGGGCAGCCTCAACCGTGGTCCTCCCAGGGCTGGGCTGCGAGGGTGCGCCAGGGTATCCTTGACCCCCAGACTTCTGCCTCCAGCAGTCCCAGCGGGCACCACCAGATGTCCCTGGATGCCCGCGCCCTTCCTCCAGCACCGCTTGAGTCTGCACCACGGCCCCTCAGCAGCTTGTCCCCCTGATGGGGGGCGCGGGGGAGGGCTGCCTGGCAGGGTGGGCATCGCTGCCCAGGGCAGGCTCCAACACTGATGGCCTCTGGGCAGAGCACAGCCTGGCCTGGGGTCCTGCCAGCTCCATCCTCCCCCCGGAAGCTCCCTGGTTCTCTCAGGATCAGGTCAGCTCTGGCTGGGCTGAGCCTCTGTCCCTCCCCAGGGCCAGGGCCAGACAGTGAGGAGGGAGGAAAGGTCAGCAGGGTCAAAAGAGGCCAACGCACCACCGACCAGGGCCCTGTGCACAGCCAGGCCTGGAGGGCCGGAAGCAGTGGTCCACGGGGGCTCTGCGGTCAGCCAGTATGGGAGGCCGTCTGTTTCAGGAGGTTGTGTGTGGGTCTGGAGTGGTGGCCAGCGATGGGCGTGGGACGACAGTGGGCTGATCCAGGGACAGGAAGGACAGTCTTCACCCCCAAGCTTCCTGCAGGCTATTTAAAGCCTCCCTTTTAGTCTGGGATGGGGGCCTTCCCACATCTTTGGTATTAAAGTGTCTGTCTGTGATACAATGCTTGTCTTTTAACTTCCTCTTTTGATGAAAAGTTGGCATCCCTATGAGATTTTGGTAACTTCAGGGTTCTGTTGGTGGGGCGTGGATGGGCCTTGGTGTGGATGGTTCAGGGCTAAAAGGGTGAAGGTGTGGCCTTGCTGGTTGGGAGCATGTCGCAGAAAGAAGTCATGTGCAACCCTCTCCATCAGCTTCATCCTAGTGGGGGGTTTCGAGCACTAGAGGCAGGGTGGAGGAAGCTGGCTGTCTGCAGGGAAGGGGAAGTTGGATAGCAGCTCCCTCAGAAAGGGGGGGGGGGTCCCAGTGTGGGAGTTAGGGTTAGGGCTGGGAAATGGCCTCACACCCCTCTGGGTTCCCAGCAGCCGCTCACCACACCAGGACTTGTGACTAGAGAGTGTCCATGAGGGAGCAGGAGGACACAGGAGAGCTGGCCTCCTGGCGGGGGAGTGGGGGGGGGGGGTCCCCACCTCGGCTCAAGTTGGGTGGGGAGCAGCCAGGGGCATCAGGATCAGGGCAGATGGGGCCGTAGTGACCAAAAGTGGGGCAAGCTCTTGTCCGGAACTGGACTCCCCAGGGAGGGGCCCTATCTTGCCACCCACATCCAAGCACTGGAAGGTCAGTCCATGGGCCCTGGTTACTAGTTGGGGGAGGAGAGGGAGGGTGGCAGGAGGCCAAGGGCCCCTCTTCCCGCAGGAGGTGCAGGGACACCTGCACCCAGCAGCCCCCAGCCCCGCAAAGGACAGGTGTGACCGGCCTGCCCCCCAGTCTCAGGGCTGGGGAGCCGGGGGTCTCCATGTGGTGGGCACTCCCCTCCAGAGCCCAGATTTGGGGTCCTCGGGCAGTGAGGCTGAGCCTGAATCCGGCCGAACCTCCCGGGCGCCAGGCGGTGTTCACTCCCGCTCCTCGCGCGCCCCCGCGCCCGGCGGCCCTCCCCCTCGCTCCCCCTCCCCTCCCCCTCGTTCCCCCTCCCCTCCTCTCCCCTCCCCCACCCGGCGGGCCCCCCCTCCCCCTCCCCCTCCCTCCCCTCCCTCTCCCCCGCCGGGGGCGGGGCCGCTGCTCCCGCGCGCTCCGGCCCCTCCTCGGCCACACAAAGGCCCGTCTCCATGGCAGCCGCGCGGGCCGCAGCGCTGCGCCGATCGCGGCCCGGGCGCCATCGAGCCTCCGCGGCAAACGAGCAGGTACGGGGACGGGGCCTCAGGCCCGCGGACTGCCGGGCCGGGGCGGGCTTCGTCGTCAGCGCCGCTTGGCCCTGGCCTGCGGCGCTCGGAACGCGGGGACCCGGGAGGCAGCCGCCCCGCGGAGGGCGACCGGGGCCTCGGCCGCTGTCCGTCCGTCCGTCCGGGCAGCCGGGGCAGGGCCCCTCCCGCCTCGCGCTCTTTCAGGCGGTGGGCGAGGCCCGCGGCGCCGGGGGCGGCCGGGCCGAGGGTCGCAAGCTGGGCGCCGCGCCCTCTCCCGGCGCCCGCGCCCCTCCGGAGCTGCTGTGGTTCCCGACACTGCGTGCTCCTGCCCCCGGCCCCCCCCACCCCCAGCCCTCCGATCACCGAGAACCGTGCACAGGGCGGAGGTCGGCCCTGGCTGTGCAAGAGTTCCAGGCCCGCGCCCACCCAGCCTCGTTCCGGAGTGGCAGAGCCGGAGCTCTCCCCAGGGGCTGGGCCCGCGGTCAGACCTTAGCGGCTCCCACACCCCCGGGCCTGGTGAGGAGGGCATGAGACAGGGCCACCTGGGCGCCCCTGTCTGCACCTGCCTGGGTGGAAGGTGGGTGCAGGTTCCGGGTTGGGAGGAGGGCGGCCTGGCGCCCCAACTACTTCACTGTGCCCCGGCTCCCGCAGTTCGCGGTGCTTGTTGTCTTGATTTTTGGGTGGACACTCTGGGACCCAGAAAGTCTCTGTACTCACTGCCGGGACCCTGCCACTCTATGTGCCTCCGCCTGCGGGAAGCCCTCCTAGATGGGCCTTTCCCACCATTCTGTGCTCAGGTTGCCTGTAAGATTTGAGGAGGGTCCTTGAGCTCAAGGGCTTCAGAGTTTCCTGCCACGTCACTGGGTTCCTCTTCCCAGCCAACTTGGAGAAAGGAAGGGGTCTCGATGGGCTCTGGGGCTCTGGTGGGGGGTCAGGACTGAGGGTGAAGCTCGACCCCAAAGCCAGTGGAACGTTCTGAAGCTTGGAGGGCCCTCTGGGCCTGAGCCTGCCCTGGGGAGCCCCTTTCACGCTTAACCTCACCCCCTGTGTCCTCCCACATGTCCAGGCTGGGCCCTGGGAGATGGGAGAACAAGGTCCCCAGAGGTGGGGCCCAGCCCGGCCCCATACTTGGACGTTACCCTGGCATAGGGCAGGGAGCCCCAGAGTTGAACAGCTGGGGCAGGGGCTGCCGGTCCTCTCCTCTGAGGCGAGGGTCCCTAGGAGGGCACGGTCAGCGTCGGCCTTGCCGAGCTGCTGAGGATGTTTTGTGGCGTGTCAGCTTTTAGGAATTCCCGGAGAAGATTGAAAACAAGCAGGTGGTTTCAGCAGATCTGAGCTTGTCACCTCTTCCCAACACACCTATTGGTGGCCCACTTTCATCTGACGGTGGGGGGAGGCTTGAGGTCTGGCCCGGGGCTCCTCTCCCCAAGAGAGGAGGGAAGTTGCAGAGAAAAACAAGGGTTTGGAATTTAAGTCCCCCACCCCCCGCCGGCCGCCTGCCAAGAAGGAATTATTTTGGATTATCCAGCCTTGTCCAGCCACCCCAAGGGGGGAGGCTGAGCCGTGGGAGAGAGATCCACTTCCGGGGCCGTGGGCTGAGAGCCCCAGGAGGGAGGGGACAGGCAAGTCTGGGCAGCTCCAGCACCTTCCGCGGCTGCTCGGCCGGTCGGGGGCGGGGTGGGAGGGGCTGCGTCACCCCGGCCTGGAGAACGCCCCAGCAGGCCCGCCGAGCCAGCCTGGGGTGCGCCCGGGTCCTCTGGGGGAGGCCATGGGCCAGGAGGGGTCCCGGGCCTTGGTCTCAGGGCCCCGG